TCAAGAGAATGTCGACTTTCACCCGTGAATGTGACCAATCACATAGCCGCTTTGGTGAATGTCCGAAATATTTGTTATATCCGATATTAATTTATTCGTTGATATTATTATTATATTGAATCGATATTTTAATATCTGCTGAGAATAGATCAGAAGAAACATCAGTGTCTGGAAAACCGGTTAAATGCATACTGGGAAGTGGCACTTGATCATCAAAAAACATTGATGTCGGGCATATCGTGCAAATGTATACCGGGCAGTAGCACTGAACTTTAAAAAAACATTGAAGAAGGGCATACCGGGCAAATATATACCGGACAGTAGTACTAAACTAGAACTAGTATATATTTTGGATATTTTCAGAAGCGACTATGTGTTTGTCAACATTCACTGGTGGAAGTCAGAAGCTACCGATTTCGATCATTCTATAAAAGAACTCCGGGGTTTTGAGGCAAAATATTTTAATGAAACAAAAAACATACATACATGTTTTATACATGACTAAAAAGCTTACATTTTCAAGTTTTTTTTAACACTTAGTAAAGTTCTATATGAGCCCCGTTAGTGGCGCGGCAGACGTCTAAACGGTATTCTACCTCTTCCCATGTCCTGGAGAACATGTGTGGGGGGACGGTTGCCACACAATTGACTATTCGTTCCCTGAGATGTTGAACATCACGAATTTTCTCTGCACTTTGTACGGTAACTAAAGACTTCGTTACTATGAGCCAAATAACACATTGAGCCTTTTGTTGCGGAGTCGCCATCATTTCAAATTTCGCGACGCCATTTCAAGGTCAACGCCCTGCAGCGCCGCCAACAGTTGATACAAACATTCCCAATTAGTATGAGTAAAACTTTTTGAGCTACTCTTTTCAGAGAAATCGACTAAATTTTGCTATCTTTTATAGTTAGTGAGATATGAATTTTTAAAACCCCGGAGTTCTTTTATAGACACCCTGTATATATAATTGTGAAGAATCTGTAGGCATAACGAAAAATATGGATTTGATATTTTTTAAAAATACATATTTCCATCCAATTAGTACTTAACCAATTAGATGCCTGCAACTCGAGAAGAAGAATACCTGATCAGGCCCAACCACGTGATTGAAATCAGATTCATTGGCTGCCTGTAAACGACATCATGTATGTGTGTCTTTACTAATTAGCTAATTAATCGACGAATGCCAAGATTTACCTAAGATGACGTCACTTGCAAACAACCAATTGCATCGACGATTAATTGCACACTAAATTTTATAAATTTACTATGATATTTACTTAAATTGATTCCGTTAAATTAACTAGGAATTTATTAAAGCAAAAAAAATTTCCGCTTTTATCTTTTCTCAAGTTTGGGTTTCATACACAATTTGAATATATTTTTTATTACAAAATATTTGTTATTGTGAATACGAAGTCAATAACAACAGTAAATTAAGCAATGAACTTACCGTATCAGCAAATTCTATATATTTTAGAATATAAATGCACCAACCAGCTCCCGTTGCCTAAAAAAGAAAAAATGGAGACTAAATATGCGATTTTGTCTATTTATCTCAATTAAACGAGTTTTTGGTTTGCCAAAACTGTTACAAATTAAAAGATAACAAGAAAATAATTATTATTGCTGTCATTTACACAAATATTATTAATATTGCTTCCACCTCATTAAATATTATTATTATAACTGCAATATTCAGAAAACTTATCATCATAGTTCCCATTTCGTTAATAATTATTAGTTTTATTGTCCCCATTTCCTGAAATATTATTATTATTGTTACTATTTCCTACTAGTATTTTGATTTTATAATTATAATCATATAATTTTTATAATAACAAATAAATAATCGTGTTATAAATTAAAAACTGTTGCAAACTTTTAACAGAATTGTATCTAATTTTTAACATATATACAAGTTCTAAAAATGTAAATGCTAATTTTTAATTACAGTTGTATATTTTGCAAAATATGCTACAAGCGCTTTCGTACATTTATTTTCCTGGATTAAATGTCAGAAAATTGTACATGTTTTTAATTCGTGATTTACGAGTCTTTTACTCTTTCTCTTTAATCAACCTTTTTTTCGAAAGCTATCTATCGGACGAAAACAGCACAAAAATCTAAAATTTTACAATTATTTGCATTTTTTTTTTGCTTCTGGTTGATAGTAAAAATTTGTCATTGAAATTGCTTTATATAACTATTTGTCTTATATTAATCTCCTAACAATTTATTGAATAAATACTCCATATTTGTTCAATAAGTTCTTAGGAATTGTACATGATTTTAATTCATGATCTACGAGTCTTTTAGTCTTTCTCTTTAATCAACCTTTTTTTCGAAAGCTATCTATCGGACGAAAACAACACAAAAATCAAAAATTTGACAATTATTTACCTTTTTTTTTTTGCTTCTGGTTGATAGTAAAAATTTGTTATAGAGTTTGCTTTATCTAACTATTTATCTCACATTAATCCCCTAACAATTTATTGAATAAATACTCTTAACTTGACAAATTTTTCAGCAAATTTTTATTAAATTACTATGATTGTCGTAAGAATTTACGTATTTTTTTAACAGTAAAAATATTTGAATGCTCTTATTTTGTTTAAAAAATAATTTTTCCCTATTTATATTAGTTTTGGTGACATTTTATCAACTTCGTACGAAAATCAGCAAATATTGAGAATTTTCCTGATTTTATAACTCTCTTTACCGTTTTGTTTAACACTTCCTTCAACTTTATCCTTGAGCTGAATAATTATAAATGAGCTTTTAAACTACATACTAACCCAGTAGGTGTAGTCATTAATTTCAACTACAGTAGGAGCACATATTTTTGAATAAGCATCTGTTGTCAGGAAAAAGTAAGCTAGCTAAAATAAGAAAAATACAACAAGTTTTCATTAGTCAATATTTTTATTATTTATTAATTTAAGAATCACGTTCATGCATAATTATATATCATTTATTATTTTCAAAAAGAAATTATAATAGTAATAATTACAAATAATAAATTTTATTTTAAGAAATACTATACACTGTTAGAAATTTCTCAAAGCAAAATGGTTAAATAACAATTTATGTAACTGCCATTTTACCATATTCAAACAAAACAGTCAAATAACCATACAAAGGAGGTAATCAAACTGTCAACTGTGAGAAAAAATAATAGTTATTAACTGCTTTCACCTAATACGGTTAAACAACCAGAATTTCATCGCTACACTTAATAAAGTCATTTAGTTTTTTTAATATATATTATAGCCAAGAGAACTAATCTGTCAATCTCTAGACCCACAAAACAAGGATTCAAGTCCCAGCGTTGACACCATAATATTTCCTCCATTCCCTTCAACACTTGAAGAGTGCCTTGTGTCCTGCACTCTCGAATGCCCCTTACCTAAGCCTAGTTCCTATGTCCAGTTAAATTTCTTTTTTACGGTTTTAAAACGAAGCTAGTTATAGATGGTAAAAAACCATATAGTTCTATATTCATGGGTTTTTTAACTATACATTGTACATATTGTAAACGGTTTCAAAACCGTAAAGATAAAAAAATGTCCTTTACCGTAAACTTTACTCTTAATTGGATGGACAGACTGCTGCTGGGTATTTTACCATAATTTTGGAATGAAAATTCTAACAGTGAAAGTTAATAATTCTTACTTCATATTGAATAGTAGAAATAACTTCACTGATTCTAAAGTATATCATATCTTAAAGTAATTCCGATTAACAAAAATGATGGCGGCTACTTTACACCAAGGAGTGAAAAGAACATTCCTGGTGCTTCACTACATCACTACTTGGTATTGAGGGACACTTGCAAGGGAAATTAGGGAAGTGTGACTCGCTAATTTTGAAATAAACTAGTTGGATGTACGCCTTATGAGGAATAATTTTAGGGTGCAACATTCGTTTCGACCCATAAAAGGTCCTATGAGAGATTAAAAAAATTTTCAATCTGTAGAAAAATCGGTATTTTATTACTTCAATGCAGACTATTAGTTATTGTAATTATCTCATACTCCAATTAATTTTGTGGTACTTTCACGTGCTATATAATGCATATTCATTCTCAAAATTGATTTCGAAAATTTTATATATTTGCAGTTTTTCAGAAAAACCTGTTAATTTTAAAAAAAAATTGGCATAAAACTTTTCAAAATTTTTTTTCAAGAAATTTTCTAAATTAATTGGAGTATGTAAGTTAATAATTAATAATTAATAATTAATAATTAATAATTAATAATTAATAATTAATAATTAATAATTAATAATTAATAATTAATAANAGTACACTTTAGCATCCAAATAAAGTCTCGGTGCTGCCATCTAGTGTGGCAGAAACTAGACGTCCAAATTAACATGACAACGGTATCTCACCCATTGTGGTGGTCCTGAAAGAGTGGATACCACTTCCGGAGAACGCACTAGGTCTGCTCATCGGGAAGACTGATTGTGCAGCTCATAGGAAATAGAAAAAAATTCTTTTTTACGATTTTGAAACCAAGTTAGTTATAGATGGTTAAAAAAAACATATAGTTTTACATTCATGTTTTTTTTACACATATTGTAAACGGTTTTAAGACCGTAAAGATCAAAAATGCCCTTAACCGTAAATTTTACTGTTAATTGGATGGACAGACTGATGCTGGGTATTTTACCACAATTTTGGAATGAAAATTCTAACAGTGTAAATTAATGATTCTTACTTCATATTGAATTGTAGAAATATATTCACTGACTCTAAAGTGTATCATATCTTAAAGTAATTCTGATTAACAAGAATGATGGCAGCAACTTTACACCAAGGAGTGAAAAGAACATTCTTGGTGCTTCACTACATCACTACTTGGTGTTGTGGGACACTTAATAGAGCGTCACTTTGGTGTAAAGTAGTTGCAACCATTTTTGGTGTAAAGTTGCACTAAAACTTTTTACAGTATAGAATGTGTCCGATTAAACCTAGTTTCCAAAATGTGAGAACTGCGAACATTTTTTAAATTTCAAAGTTTTACTAAGTTTGTGTTTTTTTTAATTGCTGAAAAAATCAAAAATTATAATTTGATAACTAGGGTAAATAGAACATGCTCCAAGAAATGGAATTAAAAACAATATTCAAAACTACTGATTATTTATTTTTAATTAACGAATAGAGAAGATTCCATTGCAAAAATTATTAAAATTTAATGCAACTTTTCACCAACTTCAAGGTATCTTTTACGCTTGGTTACATCTGTTTGATAAAACATAAGAAAACTCTATATTTTTAACGAATGGTGTCAAGGGGGATATTAATTTCTTAGAATTTGATAGTATTTCTATAATTGGAAGATGAAAAAAAAACTTACCAGCAATATGCAAGCTGCATAAGCAATAACTATACAAAAATTGTACACAATCATAACATTACGTAACATGAATGGTTTCCTGTTTTCCATGAAAGCAGGACCAATTTTTTTAATGAAAAGTACATATATGGCACTTAAAAGAAATGGCATGTAATAGCTGTCTACTAGAACCCATGATCGTATAGTTGGATCTGCAAAGAATGATTAATTTAAAAATTTAATTAACGAATTATAATTTTTCATTAAAGCAATTTAACATTTTTCAATCATACTGAAATCCTTCTTAGATTTATTCACAAATTGTATCAAAAACACTTTAATTATTTAAAAATCTGAAAAATTAAGCATAATAAGAGGTGCTGATACCTTTTATGACGCTGAATCACCGTATTAAACTGACAAATCATCAATTGATTGTAACGTTTTAACAGAACAAAGCTAGATGATAATTATCTCTTGACAATAGCAGCTGTGATAATTTGCACATTCTTAGATAGACTCAATTTATATCATTTAAAAACTCATTGAGTAATTCTTCACACATTGTAAGAATTTCTGTGAAACTAATTTTTATATTAAATTATATAACTTTTAAAAAGACCTATGGTGAGACAAGGCTTAAAATTACTCTAATACTTTTTTTATATTTTTAAATAATTGAATAAATAATAGTGTTTTTCAATAACTGTAAATGTTTGTACAACTGATATATAATGATAGATTCAGTTTATACAATTTAAAATTGCATTGAATAATTTTACACATAGTAAGATCTTAATAGTTTTATAAACTATATCTCTAAAACTAATACTTATATTAGAATATATAACTTTTAGAAACACCTAAGGAAAGACAAGGCTTTAAAATATTCTAATATGTTTTATATTTTTAATAATTGAATAAATAATGGTGTTTTCCAAGTATTGTAAATGTTAGTAAAACTGATTTCAAAATTATGTTTTGATTCTATTAACAATCCCACTGCTGTTTTAAACCCACTTCTCTTTTGTTTTTGCTGTTATCAATTTTATGTTACGCTGCAGTTTTAAAATCAGTTTTTTCATTTTTATTTTTATTCATTTTCTTCTTATTCAAAATTATTATGATTTTTTTAAAATGTTATTGCGAAATTTTATCGGAACAAATTTAGATATGAATTAAACCCAACTTTACTTAGGCTAATTAAAAATATATCAGATGAGATAAGATTTTAGCCAACTGCTAAATAAGCTTGATTTATTTCAAGCCGTTGGCAATGTAACGAAAGTTAAAACAATTAGCCGGGTTAAATAGAAGCTTATTTAGAAAAGTTTAAAAAAAGTTTCAAATATTCTTCTACTTAATTTTTTTTACTAACAAGTATTACACTGTTAGACATTTCTGAGGAAAATGATTAAATAATAATTATTTTATGGAAAGAGAATTTCGGGTGAAAAATAATTGTTTTCTTATTTAAATAACCTTTTTACATTACCCTAATAATTATTCATAATATTTTCGTATTATCATAATAATTATTTTCATTATTCAATATAAATTCTGTTACACATTTTAACCAAAATAGTACGAAAATGTATAATTTATTAATAAGGATTTTTTTTAATTCAAATTATAGCTGGTATAGAAGACAAGACTCAATATAATGAATCTATTCAAATTCAGGCTGATATAGTAAATTTCTGCTAATTTTTATATTTGCCTGAAGCCATATAGGCTAGTTGCAACAACTAATATAAAGCTGATATTTTTACAATCAGTCAGGCCCATTGCAAAATGAATGGGACATTTGCATACCGAAGAATTATCCAATTTACCTTCGGTATAGATAAATATATGTAAAATATACGCAAGAAAGAAATAATTGAAATAAACATATATAATGTTTAAAATACTTACCTCCCGATTCTAGCTGTTCTTTCATATATTTTAATATTGTCATTTTGATGAATACTGTTTAACAGGAAGACTTCTTTTAAAGCTAAAAGGAAAAGAAGCAGAAGTTTTAAAACAAGCAGTTAAATTTTGAAAAAAATACATATGATAAATTTGAACTAAATTAGTTAAGGGGAGTCGGTAGGGCACACACCAATAATGCTAAAACTGACCTTTTTTGATGTACCATTTCTCAGCATTTTGACAAGATTTTTCCTGTTTTTTCTTCATAGAATATTTGCATATACATGTTTACACTGTGATAACTGCTAATACATATCTTGGCAGAATTTGTTTTTAAAAATTACAGTCTGAGAACTTTTAGTTTCCGTTTATAAAGCTTCATCGAAAAATCCTTCATAACTGAAAAATATTCCTGCTAATGCTTAAACATTGTCACAGTACATAACTGAAATAGTCTCAAATGTCCTCAAAAAATTTCAAAGGCAAATCATAAGTAGTTTCTTAGGAAAGGTACATCAAAAAGGGTCAGTGTTAGCATTATTGATGTATGTCCTGCCGATTCCCCTTAAATTCGAAAAATATGAACTGCAACTCCCTCCATTGGTCTATAACATTCTATTAGAGAGTTGAAGTTAGGTATTAAAAAATATTAAAATATGTTTATAAAGAGCTTAGCTCATTTAAACATTTTTATAGAACCAGAAAGTGTTAAAGTACACTCCGTTTTCTTTTTTATTTCCTTTAATGATCTTGATAAGTAAAGCAAGAAAACATATCACTGAATCCAAGATCTCTTACAATTCAGTCAATTTATATAAACATTCGTTTTTCGATGTTTTAAATTGCTTTTAAATTAAAATATTTTAATTTTCTTAAACAAATCAACAAATCACTGATAAAACTGACTGCAAGATGCTTTCCACCCTAAAAAAAGGAAGACACATTTTCAATACATTGCCACTGAAATGTGACCTTTTCGGTAGCCCCGTATAAAAAAAAAAAAAAAAAAAAAAAAAAAAAAAAANGTCATCAAAAAATTTCAAAGGCATATCATAAGTAGTTTCTTAGGAAAGGTACATCAAAAAGGGTCAGTGTTAGCATTATTGATGTATGTCCTGCCGATTCCCCTTAAATTCGAAAAATATGAACTGCAACTCCCTCCATTGGTCTATAACATTCTATTAGAGAGTTGAAGTTAGGTATTAAAAAATATTAAAATATGTTTATAAAGAGCTTAGCTCATTTAAACATTTTTATAGAACCAGTAAGTGTTAAAGTACACTCCGTTCTTTTTTTTATTTCCTTTAATGATCTTGATAAGTAAAGCAAGAAAACGAACCAAGAAACCTTCTGCATGTTTAATTTTTCTTTGACATTAAAACTATTGATATTAACAGATACTTGTTTCTATAACATCAAAACCTTCTTCCCTTTGTTTTATTTGTATAAAAATATTTCCTTAAAATAGATTCGAAATCCGTTTTGAAAAAAGCCTTTTAAGAAGTAAAATGAAACTTCAGAATGATAATTGACTTGAAATAAAAAAAATGAAATCTTAAAGGGATATTCTCTTTCTTATTCAAAGCACTAAAATTATTTAGTATTTTTTTTCGTTTTATAAACCTTCCAAGTCCTTAACACCAACTGGTTTCACAAAGTACTTAAACAAAATTATTATCTGCAGCAATTTTTGTAACCGCCCAGATACAGACTGTCACAGTGACGTCATTAAAAAGTCAAAAATGGTCACAACAGTCACAGTCAAAGGTGTGACAGTTTTAAATTGTTCCCTATGATGTCATAATGTTTTTTTGATGTTGCTTTTTTTTAGATATCACATAAAAGTTTCCTTGACTAATTATTGTGACTTTTGTCAGTTGGTAGTCAGACCTATACTTTTCTAGAACTAAAGTCACTGAAAATCTTCGTCGCCATTTAGTTGCAACTTTGATCTCTTGAAAGTTTCCTCCATTTGAGAAAAATTCCACCACTGGTCTTTCTAAAGTTACAAGAATATATTTTGAGACTTGTTTCACTCAAGTTAAACCAGTCACGAAAAAGTCTTGTAAGCAGTTTTTTGGGATAGTTTGAAATTAATTATGTGAATCATAAAAAAATCACGAAAGCTCACAACAAATACAATCAAGAGTGATCTTTTCTAAATGGCTCCAAAAGCCTCTCAATATGATTTTGAAAAATAAAATGATTTCCGTAAGCATGTTTGTAATAAAAAACTTTTTCATACAATATTTCTCTATTCTTCAACTCTCACAGTGTCAGAAAAAAGATTTTAAAAGTAAATATGCCCTTTGTCTAAATTGCCGAACAATATTGAAATAAATCTATTTTAATACTATATTTTTAAAGAATGAATTTGGATATCTTTTCTCTTAGTTTTTAAAATAGATGTATACACTTACATTTCCTTCAAAATTCGTGCTAAAAATTTCAAATTTTACGCGACTGTATAGCCACAAACAGTTTTGATAAAATTTATTTAATACAAAACTTTTATTGCACAGGTTGAAAAATAAAGTTTTTGAGCAAACAATTCAATAAACTAAACATGCTTGAATATTTTAATTTTGAATAAAATGCTTTATTCTATTTTGCTTACATTTGGACTAACATTGATTATATTTGCAAGGTTTGTTTAGGCTTCTGAAATAACCCACAATTTAACAACTTATAAAAATGAACAACTTATAAATTTTTACAACTTACAAAAATGTAAATGGAGAGATTGTTGATAGGTGAAAATCATTCAAAAGAATAAACATCTAATTAACATTAGTTTGCAAAAGCAAACGATTTTAAATCAAATGCGAACTACGGCTGTCGCCATTTTTTAATCGTCGGTTTAAATTCAGATAGTCCATACTTTGATGCTATCACTTAAAATTGAACCTTAGTCGTCCGTAAAAGATATGTTTCAAGATTAAAACTCATTAAATTGTGTAGAATCCGTCAAAAACGATTTTATTTGCTTTTTGTAAGAACAAAGCGTTACAAAAGCTTTGTTCTATTTTTATTAAAAGAATTTAATTAAATGTTATTTATGTGCCTCTGATTTTTGATGATAAGTTACTTATTTTTAATAATTTGGTGAGGTAAAAAACGAACAACTGGATATCCTAAGTCACATCTTAAATGGTAGTCCATTCTGATACAGTTCGCCGATATAGTCTGGTATAGTCGAAGAACTCATATGATAATTGTAGCAACGAATATTAAAATAAGTTAGTGTTTTAATATTCATTATTAAAGAAAATTTATACGTTTTGAGTCCACTTTCATTGTTCACTATCGATTTTTTTAAGTCTATTTAATTTTGTTTTACAGTTCTTTCGTTTTCAAATAATAATCGGGTATTTATTTTAGATTGCCAAGTCAATGTTAGTTCATTTTCATCGCATTTTCCTTTTTCTTTTTTTTTTTTTAAATATAGTTTTCTCTTCTTTTTTAAAATAATGCACCCCAATTAACAATGTTTTTTATTACTTTTATTTTCTAAGTTAAACTGATTTTGTGAAGTAATTAATGTTTTTGATCATTTTTTTAAAATTTCAGGCTTTTTTTACTAAATAAAAAAATTTTTGAACAGTTAAGCAATTAAAATATTAGAAGTTTTGTTTTAGTTCAAAATCTTAATCACAGTGGCAACACCTTGTGATGAAGGTATGATATATTCACGTCTCATCAGAGTCACTGAAGGACGAAGCCGTGACATACGTCTCTTCTAGTGACAAAGATGTAACACGTTTACAGCTCAACTGAGTCGCCGTTGTGACGAAGATGTAACATATTCACGTGTGAACAGAACAGAGTAACGATGTGACGAAATCATGACATATAAGTTCCAATAGGGTTACACTGTGACTATGAGACGTTAATATGCCACATTCTCGTCCCATTGTGATGTCACTGCAACATTTTTATGTCTTGTTGTGGTCTTCTGTTAACGTCTGGGTGACGTCCCCAAAGAAGGGCATAGTAACCTTCAAAAAAACCCACATTGACGTCGCAGAGGTCACATGTGACTTCACAAATGAGTCAGCGTGACTGTCGCATTTTTCTTGTAATATGGTAACGGTACTATCTGGATGATATTTTTCATATCTGTTTCTATAGTAAAGCGTTATTTTCAAACATCTGTTTCACAACTCAAAACGAAAATAACAATGTGATCGCAGAACCAAAAACTTTTTTTTTAGTTTTTTGTCATTTTGAAATTTTTTTTTTAACGATTAACAACTTTGTGGAGAAAATAAATGTAAACAAAAGACTAATTGCATTTTGTCTAAGCATTTTATGATTTTTACAGACTTCTTAATTTAGTTGTGAGCAATTACATTAGTATATTGATTTCAACCAATGGAAGCGTGAATAGAAGAGGAAGAGTTAAGTTCTCTTCTGTTTCTTCGTTTATGAGGTTTCCCAAGGTCTAAATCTGTTATTTTGCAACAGATACCTTTATTCAAAATTAAAGGAAGAAAAGTAGTCTCATTATCTAGACTAATATAAATCTAAAATCTTATTGTTTCAGTCTAGAAAAAAAATTGAATTCAATTAATACTACTTAATAGAAGGCTTCATTTCATATGCTCAGTCATTAAATATTCATATTTTAAGCAATTATTACGGCTGTTATTTTATGAATATATTTTACACAATAAGTCTTCTTTTGAATTTTCCAAGTGCCTAATTATTTTATTTTACACTAAATTATTTTTTGGTAGGTTTCTATTGTATCTACAAATCGATCTTGATATAACGAATGAATAAGATAAATAAGAGTGGTGATAGCAAATAAAAAATTCGTCAAAACAGTAAATTGGCATACACCAAATCAGTAAATAAATTTAAAAAATAGCAATATGACCCTATAAATTATGAGGAAATATTATTTTTAATTATACGATAGGGATGCCACCATTTTTTAAGATTGTGTGGGCATACAGCGAATGACCTACATGACGAACTAAAACAAAAGGGGGAAACTAAATTCAATTATTACTATAAAGATTTTAACTAGGTTAATATTTTATCCATATTCAATATCACCGTGATTATTAGATTATA